TATTGAGTCTCTCATCTATGTATTTATGTAAATATTCTATTTTGAGACTCGAGTTGCCCCTTTGGGCCATATTTTTATCAGTTAAGTTGTTTATGTCTTTGCATGGCATTGAGTTATTCTATTGAGTCAGGTTTCCGCTGAATCAAGAAAGCCAGGCCAAGGGTTCGCTTGGGGCCAGCAATGGTCTCCGAGTGCCGGTCTCGCCCAGGGTGTAGGCTCGGGGTGTGACAATAAATCCCGCCCTAGCGGCTTGCATGGAACCAGTGAGCAAAATTAAGAATTCCAAACCCCCATTTCACAACACGGCTTCATCCCATGACACTCAGAAAATACCTTTTCACGCTAAGATCAGTTTCAGAAGTTTTACTCACCCGAATTCAATTTCGTAATGTCATACGGGTTCCTTAACGTCTTAGCTATCTAGTAATATGATCAAAATCATAATCAGATCTCTCATTTGTGACCAGATTTCCCTAGACCTCATGACTGCGATTTCGTCCAAATTTGAACTAGGCTAGAAAATCCAAAGTTACTACTCAAAAGTTTTCTTTCTCCATTAGCTTTTCTATAACGACGGAAACAGGTCATTACATGGAGTGAGTACAAACTTTTGATAAATTTTATATTTATAAAATTTAAGTTTTTCTTAACTATTTTGCCTTTTAACAAAATTTAAAATGAAAATACTAAAGCTTTTTCACAATTATTTTTTATAGTATTTTTTTATCAATATTTTGTCGATAATAAAATTTTTTTAATATAAATAAGATAATAAAGTAACTTAATTTTGAAATTCAACTATTGATATCAATTGAGAAAACATTTATTTATAAGTTGTAAAGCATTCATAACCTAATATCAATATGCTCCTTACTCTCGACGAATGACACTAATTTATCATAATTCAAAATTGTAAGAAGTAGAAATCAAGACTAAAAAGTGCAACTCACTATTATATGAAGGTCAATCCGTAGTTTATCTATCGTGGAAGTTTCCTAAGTATATGATATATAATTCTATGTCAAATTAATTTTTGATCCCATTTATTTATACTATTTCAAAATTTATCACGTTAATTGGTTATGTGTTTTCTAAAACTACAATTATTGCAGTCATTATTTTGTCATTTTTTTAATTCTTACATTTTCAACTCAATCTTTTTTTTTATCTCTTTAGAATTGTGATATTTTTGTTTTCTTATTTAAGTCACAATTTTTTAAGATAAAATAAATATTATTTTGGTGATAAAATAAGTTAAATAAAACTATATGAATACTTGTATTTAAAATACATTATATATAATTAAAAAGGAAATTACATACATGAAACTTGTAAGATTGTAGGATTATACTGAATATGTTGTAGTAGTAATAAACATAGATGAACGATCTGAATTGTCAAGAGTATAAAGGTATAAATATTTTTCACATCATTATTATAATCAAACAAATACAAATTGATTTTTAAAAATAAAATAAAATGAATTTTGTGGGGCCACACATGAAACAAAACTTTTGTGACTCTTGAAAAGGAAAATTGGGCTCTTCTAGAAAATTATTTTGACCATTAATTATACAATTATAAATTTATAATTTTGCCCATAAATAATGCTTAAAATTACAAAATTGTCATTGGTCGTCCTAATCATGGTTCTTCTATGGAATATAAAATATAGAAATTTGCTTCACATGGGAGGATAATATAATAAAAGAAATAATGGTGATGAATACTCTTTATATATATATATATATATATTTAAAAAAAGATTGTCCATGAAAAGACAATGTGAGGAAAATAAAATTCTAGTTAATAAACAGTAAAATAGCACACACAAAAAAAAAACTATATTATAACTTAAAATTAATAATGCATTTAATCAATGAGGTTTCGGTACAGAATAGGAGTTTAATTAGTGGACGAAATGTGATTACTCTTAAAATCTGATTTATTAATTAGCAGGTATAAATGTCATCTTTTGATTGAACATTATATAATTAATTGCATCTTTTTGGCTAAATTAAAAATTGGATGGAAGAACTTGGCTAATGGTTATGTATGCCCTCAACCTGGTTCGTGTCATAAACATTGAAATTTTATGGAAATCTACAAGATGTGGTCAATTCTAATAGATTCTACAAGACATGTTTAATTTTAGTTAGGGTTTTGCGATGTTATTCAATCTAGACCCTATAGTTCATGCCTATATAAAGGATTATTTCTTTAAAAAGACACCAAGAATATCTCATAAACTCTTGGGATATTCATAAAGAAATCCCGCTCAGCTCTTGAATCACGAAGAAAGAATCAAGGAAAGGAACATAATAGCACTTATATTGTTTTATCAATAATATACTTGTTTATTTATATTTTGATTGTGGTTGATTAATTTTTCATATATTTAAAATTTGTTGCAAACAAGATCTGAAGAAACAAGAATATTATTGATAAACCAATATGGGTACAATTTTGTTCCTTCTTTGATTTTTCCCTCTGAATTTTTTTCGTTTTTTCGTGATTCGAGGATTGTAAGTGACGTATTTCTCAAATTAAGGACGATTTGAATTTGATCTCCATGGAATGATTTGTGGATCTTCTTGATGTATGTGATTATCAAGCAAACAAGAAAAGTATGACATATTTTGATCTTTATGAATACCCAAGAATTTATGGAATTTTCTTGGTGACTCTTCAAGAGAATATATTATATACTCTTTATTAGGGGTGTATAAAACCGAACCGAAAATCGAGTCAACTCGGAAAAATAACTCGACTAGTGGTTTGGTTTGACTTGGTTTGGTTCTGGAAAAAAAAATCCGACTATATTTAGGTTGGTTTGGTTTTAACTAAAAAAAACCAACCCGAGACCAAACCAACCCGA